GGAGGGGGGGGTGTGCCATGGGGGGAGGGGATATGGGTGTTGGGACTTGGGGTTGGTATTGGGGGACGGGGGTGCGATGATGTTGGGGGGTGTAGGGAATGGGAGGGGTGATGGGGGAGTGGGGAATCAGTGGTGTGGGTGGATGGAGTATGGGTCGGGTTGGGGATGAATGGGAGAAGCTGCAGTGAAAAGCCATTTGGCTCAGCCAATCCATGCTCTCCTATTTCTTCTGAACACCACCCCCTCCCCAGCTCTTCTCTGACCACCCACCTATTCCCCTTTTCACCTGTCACCCAACTCTGGGCAGCCCTTTATGCTTTGGTTAGTCCCCTGCATAGTCTCAGTGGGTGCTGCTCTCCCCTCTTCAGTCACAGACAAAAAAAATTAAAGAAATAAACTTCAGGGGACCGCTGTCCCACTGCGTGAGTGCCGCAGTGTCGGAGGTGCCACCTTTCCAAAGATACGCCACCGTCTCTCCTGTCCGATGGGTCCACGGGGAGCTGCCAGAGCAAATGACACAGATGTTTTTCAGGGGAGGCTGTTCCAGCACATGAGGGAAAAGGGAACAGAGGGTTATGACCATAAAGATAGATGAGGAAAGATATGAGGAGCATGGTCTGGTATGGGCCAGATGGTCTGTTTCTGGGACATGTAATCTGCAAAATATTGAGGAGGAGCGCGGAAACTGTGTCCTGGGGCTGAAATTCTCCCTCACATCAGTTTCAAAGCAAAAAATACACACGTTTTGGTTATTTATTTTATGGCTATTAATGGGATTTCTCTGTGCACTGTTTTCCACATGGCTTGGCTGCAAAGGACTAGGCAGGTTAGATGCAGGAAGTATGTTTCTGCTGGTGGAGGAGATCAGAACCAAAGGTCATAGTTTAAAATAAAGGTACAACTTTTAGGGTAATTTCTTCACCCAGAAAGTGATGAGTCTGTGGGATTCACTACTACAGAAAGTGGCCAAAACTTCAAGCTCTTGTACCTAAAGGGATGAAGGGATAGCGGAGCAGTGCAAGATTAGGGTATTGAGCTCGATGATCAGCCATGATCATATTGAATAGCCCAATGACCTATTTTGATATTCTATGTTTCTATGCTTTGGGAACTCCTGAAATTTCTCTCAGTCCAAGTTCTTATTCTTCTTATCTCTGGCAGTCTTCCATCGCTTTTGTAATCAAACTTTCGAAATTCGAACTTGATGCTACCTCCTGATTTATTGTGTTTTTAGTTTCTGTTCTCAAGCTGAGACTAGCTTATGGCTGGCAGCCTATCTTCTACCTTTCACCACCTAAAATAAGAATCTCATCTATTTCTGCATGAACATCTTTTATAGCTAATAGTCTTACCGATGTTTCAATGATTCACAGAGGCAACGTGTATCACAGAGATGTCCGTGATGATGGCTTGTTGGAAACAGAATGAATTCAGTGAGAGAGCTTGTGCCAAAGAGATCCAGGCGTTCTATGCTTGCACAGCCAAAGCAGAGGTAACATTAATGGAAAAGCTGCACTTGAACTGTACATAATGTTGGTATTTGAATCATAGAATCCCTACAGTGTGGAAACAGGCCCTTCGGCCCAACAAGTCCACACTGATTCTCAGGGCAGCCCACCCAGACCCAGCACCTATAACCCACCTAAGCTACACATCCCTGGACGTTATGGGGCAATTTAGCATGGCCAATCCACCTAGCCTGCACATCTTTGGACTGTGGGAAGAAACTGGAGCACCTGGAGGAAACCCATGCAGACACAGGGAGAATGTGCAAACTCCACATGGAGAGTCACCCGAGGCTGGAATCGAACCCAGGTCTCTGGCGCTGTGAGGCAGCAATGCTAAGATCAATTCGTTGTGAAAATAATTGGCCAAATGATCAATTTCACAAGAATGCATATGGCAAAAGTGACGGGGTGGGTGGAGGAGAAAGATTTAACTATCTAAATTTCCTTCGTGTTTGGGGGTCGGAGGGGGTGGGTATCCTGTGATTACATTGCTCTAAGAAGCAAACGAAATGTCATGGGAGGCATAGTGGGAGAAGGGATTGCATCCAAACACTTTCTTGTGCCCTTGTGTGGAATTTTGAGTAGCGTAGCTGCCTAAGATTTGGGAATATGTTCCAAGTCTTAGGTCGATACTCATATTAGAGCAAGTTAGAGAAACTGAGAGGAACTCTTGTAGCAAAGAGGCATCACAAACAATTGAATGTATTTAACATCCAACAAAGAACAATGTGTATTTTATTCAGTCAAATCCACGCTTTATGTAAATATGCTATCTCACTGAGATCTGTATCATCATTCTACCATATTTTCAGTTTTTAAGTAATTGTAAGTAATTTTAAGAGTCTTGGATGTCATTGCGTGGAGGTATGTCAGTTACTGCATTATGATGTTGCAGTTTGTCCAGTCTTGTGACATTCGGTTATGTACACATGCATTAAGGACAAAATTAGGCCACTTGGCCCCTCGAGCATGCTGTATGGCTCAGTAAGATCACAGCTGATTTGATTAGTCCATTTTCCTTCCTCCCCCCCCACCATTATCTTTTTATCCCCTTGCTTATCAAGAAACGTAATGCATTTGAATGCAGCTCCAGTTAAAGAAATTTTAGTTTATCTTTCTGCAGGTTTTGGATAGGATTCTGAGAGATTTAGTTGAAACGTTGGAGTTTCTTCTGTTTGCTGAAGTTTCGGGAACAGAAGAATGCTAACAAACTTGCCTCCTGTTTCCCAAGCCCTGTCCATCACCTACAAGAGGCAAGTCAGGAATGTGATGGAATACTCCCCACTTGCATGAACAGCTCCAACATTTGAGAAGCTTGATACCATCAAAGACAAGGCAACCCACTGAAATGGCTCCCTATCCACCACCTTCAACATCCACCACTGATGTACAGTAGCAGCAGTGTGTACCATCTACAAGATGCACTGCAGTAACTTACCAAAGGTCCTTTGACAGCCACGACATCTACCACCTAGATGGACAAGGACAGCAGATGTATAGGATTGCCACCATCTGCAAATTCCCCTCTAAGCTATATACCATCCTGACTTGAAAGTACATCACTGTTCCTTCGCATTCACTGGGTCAGAATCCAAGGACTCCCTTCTGACTTCCTAATTGCCAAGAACTGCAGCAGTTCAAGAAGGCAGCTCACTACCACCTTCTCCAGGGCAGTAAATGCTGGGTCGACTGGCGACACACTGCTGCTAAGACAATGCTCTCGGGATTGAGTAGTTTCTGCCACTTTCCTACAAAGGATGAGGCTTTTATTGCTGACATTCTATTCATGCTGGTCAGACCTCTCAGTGTAGTTATCCCAATGTGGCTGTTGATGAGAAGCTCCTGCGTCCCACTGCCAATCAGATCTGACATGCTACGTCGAGGTTTCACCCCTGCAAGATAATCTCACGGCAGCTGTCGTGACGAAGAACCGCCTCCTCTCTGCTGCGTCCTCAAATATGCCTTTGCAGAGCACAGCTGGAAAAGGGATGCAGTGATTTTTTTTTTATTGTTACAGTTCACACTGAGCAGTAGAGCTTTGTGCTGGATGGGCTGTTCCCAGGGTGCGCACCGAGATCAACATCGAATGCAGCGGCAGCACCACCAACTTGGCAAAAGACACTCCTTGATTTTTCCCCAGTGCAAAGAGTTATGCATGACCTGCTGTTGCAGAGTGCCACATTCCAGGGTTCAGGACTGAATGCTGATGGATGCAATAAAGGTTGAGGTAACCACCATGGGGCTGCATTGGCGAAAGGCCATTCTCTAAGGCCCTGCCTGCAGTGGACACTGAGGGAAACTGTGCAAAACCCCTTGGGCTGTGAATAAGATGGCTATAAGCTCTAACTTTAAGTCGGGTGTAACATAGGTGTCGAAAGGAACTAATCTATTTTGCACTTTTTGTAAAGTCATTTGATGTTTAACTGTCATGTAAAGTACTTCTATAATGTTACAACTAAAGTACATTTCTCCCCACCAAAGTTTAGCTATCTTGATACTTTAATAAGAATTTCTATCTTGCAGGCTGAGCGGAAAGCAAGGGCAAGTTTGGACAGTGCGGGACAAACCAATACTTTGACTCCCAAACAAGCCACAAAGTTGCTGCGGAGATATCCTAACAAAACACAAGTGACATAAGAGCCTGCACATGGAATTAGTATTTGGATCTAAAAGGCTGCTGATTACTACAACTTCCTGTGTCTGAGATGTTTAGTTCCTGATGGATATAAATGCCGTGGAAAGTGCAGGAATATACTACTCATCAGTGGCAGTAAAATCTGATAGAATGGAGACAAATGCCCTTAGCTGAAATTCACAAATATCTAAGACTGGTGCTCTGACTAAATTAGAAAGAATGGTGATTTCTTGCATTTTGTGAAATGTATGTTGAAATATTTCATAAGTGGCAGTTGTGTTGAATGCACGAGTCATTTTTAGTTCATTTTTATTGTCTGTGATTTTGGGTTGAGATGCATTTTATTCTCTCACTTTGGCTTTTCTTCATCACAGTCCCACCCCTAGTCTGTGATGTGAGAAGATACATTAGAACAGATTCCCCAGTTGCTTATTCCTTTTCTGCAGTGACATAGCAGTAATAACTGCAGGCTGATGTTTTGAGGGCATGAATTCCACCATGGCAAGTACTGAAGATTAAATTCGATAGAATACAATAACTGGTACTTTAAAAAAGCATCTGATGAGTTCAAAAGGCACTTAGGGGTGGACAATAAATGCTGGCCTAGTCAGGGCCACCCACATCCCATGAACAAATCAATAAAGCACCTCAGAGTCCCCTATCTCAATGGTGGTCATGTCCATAAAAGAAATCCCATTGTGGGATATTCCAGCTCCGATTTATCTTGCACCTCTCTAGATGACAATCATCTCATGTAAAAACTGAAAAAAACTGCAGATGCTGTAAATCAGAAGCAAAAACAGAAAGTGCTGAAAAAGCTCAGCAGGTCTGGTAGGATCTGTGAAGGGAATCAGAGTTAACAGTTTGAATTGAGTGACCCTTCTGCAGAACCATTCTGAGGAAGGGACACCGGACCCGAAACGTTAACTTTGATTTCTGTCTACAGATGCTGCCAGACCTGCTGAGCTTTGCTAGCAATTTCTGTTTCTAACCTCGATGTGTCAGCCTGTCAGCCAGACATCCTTTGTGACAATATCATCAATCTCAGTCAAAAATCACTTTGTTTTTCCACAGATGAATGAGAATTTTAACTTCCAGGGAAGTATATCAGCAAAATCAATCAGTTTCTTTATGAAGGGCTGGTTTGTGTGATTTGTGTTTTAGTTGGTGGCAAATAGTCATACATTTTTAAGACAACAGTGAAGGTGATATTAAAATAATTATTTGTATGTGTTACTTGAGGTTGTCACAGAGTTGTATAAAATTGTACCGACCCTCTAATTACAGGAGAAAGCATCTTGTGTTACTGTGTTCAATTTAATAAATTAATTCCGATGTTTACTGTACTTACAATGTTTGCTAATAGATAGTGATTTTGTTACACAGTGGGGAAGTATTTTGCCAATGTTTTGCAATAACTTTACACTGTAGGGTTGGTCTGTGTTCACTGATGTAGTCGAATCTTAATTAATTTTTGTCTTGTTGAACAATGGGGGATTGTTTGACTATTTGTAAAATATCAACAAGGGGGATTGTTGTATCAGCAGCTTTTTCCTTCCCTCCCCATCAGTGCATAAGCAATCTAAACTTGTCATTATATCATTCTGATTTCAATTAGATAATCACATATGTGGATTTGGTGTCACGCTTCCTACACTCAGTAAAAGAAAAACATCTTGCTGATCTGTCTTCAGCAAGCAAATGCCAATGTATATATAAAATGTGTTCAAAGTTCTCTATCGGAGTTCAGTTGCTCAGGACATATTAGAAAAGGTTTTCTTCTGTTGATTTACTTTAGTACTTCTGTCCCATTTGAAAAGATAAGAAGGAACAGACAGCTCACCACCACCTTTTCAAGTTAGGGGTGGGTAATAAGTACTGACCTTGATGTTCATGACACATCTCTTGAATGAGTACAAAAAGCTTTGGTTCTTTGAGTAAAATTTGAAAACGTATATTCAAGTTAATAGACTTTTAAGTTTTTCTATTCAACAGTATAACCTGAAAACGCTGCAAATAATTTGCAGCATCTGCAGAGAGAGAGGAAAACAGCCAAGAGAACCTTTCTTCAGAATTGCAGGATATTTGTAGGCAATTTTGTTTCAACAGTTGGTTAACCTCTAAAAGTTACCATCGCTGGAAAAAGACACATTATGTTGGAGTTTTTTCACCTTGCACTTGATATTTTGCAAGAATTACCAACTCAAAGGGAAAACCAAAATTTATACTGCATGAGAGAAGAGTGCTGATCGCTTCAAGTGGGCTCTGGTTGATGGAGGCATTGCTGTGGAGAATGCATCTGTTAATGCTGATTGGCAGTTAACTGCCAGCTATTCTTTAAATTTCAAATTCAGCAGGTTGACTCTGAAAGCCAGAAATTCTGGAGAAGCTGGTTTGGCGGCATCTCGGGAGAAAGCAGAGTTCAATTTTTCTGGTCCAGTGACCCTTGTTCAGAATGTATAACCCTGTGAACTAAACCAGTGAATGGCCGTTATCTATTTTGTTGAAACTGACATAGTATGTGCACATGTTTATTCTGTCTGAAAGTCAAAGAATATAGAGCCTCATGCTCTGACATGGTGACATCTTCAGAAAAATAATTATGAAATTTCTAAAAAGACTATCATCTTTTGTGGCATCTTTTATGACACTTTGTCTCCATTGTCAAATAGAGCATCCATCTCAGAGGAAGTGGTGGTATAGTGGTAATGTTACTAGTCCTCTGTGGATAGAAATTTAAATCCAACCACAGTAGAGGAAATATAAATTTAATCAATAAAATCTGGAAGCTAAAACAAGTCTATGTTGTGGTGACCATGAAATTATCATTGATTGTTGTAAAAGCTTACCAAGCATGCTAATGTCGTTGGAGAAGGAAATATGCCACTTCTGAGGAAGGGTCACCGGACCCGAAACATTAACTTTGTTTTCTCCTTCACAGATGCTGCCAGACCTGCTGAGCTTTTCCAGCAACTTTGTTTTTGTTCCTGATTTACAGCATCCATAGTTCTTTTGGTTTCTAATATGCCACTCATGTCTGGTTAGGCTTACATATGAGTCAGTGCCACAGCAATGTGGTTGACTGTTAACTGCCTCCTGAAATGATCCTAACAAGCCATTCAGTTATCTTGTTCTGTCCTATTCCCTCTTTTTCTAAGATTGACACTAGGTGAAAATTCTTCCAGTCTTGGTGAACAGCCCCTAAATTTAGGAAATTATGAAGAATACAAGTCAGTGCCCTTTATCTGGTATTCCAACCAGAACTCAGTTTAGGCCCTTTGGGACAAATACTTTGCACGTACAGGGGTCAGAATGTGAAAATCAAAAATAGCTTTATCTGAAAAACCCAATGTTTTTGTGCTGCAGAATTCCTGTCCTGTATTGGCAGGGGGCTTGGATAAGTCCCATTTTCTTAACCTGGTCTGGTAACCTAATCTGTGTAAGCAGGATATTCACCAGTGTCTGCTGATAAGCATTATGGTTTCTGACAGTTAGTACAGAAGCAGCACTCCATTTACATTAGAAGCTATGCAATGTTTTTATTGTCTCACATGAGTACGTCCCCAAAGAGGGAGATAGCAACATAGGTCATGTGGATTCAAAGAAGGGGGTGTTATCAGCACTATGTACATTTTCCTTTTTTAAAATGTATTCCAGGATAAACTATTGCCCATCCTCAATTGCCTCTTAGATGACAGCAATAGGCAGACTTCTCAAATCAATGCAATTGTGGTAAAGAACTGCCTCATTCCTGTGATACAAGAAGTTCCAAGACGTTCACTCAGTAGTCAGAATCATCAAAGAAAAGCTCATTAACTACTTCACCGTTTAATGGCATTTTAAGGTATAGTGACTGTTGTAGAAAATGTAGCAATTAATTTGCATTGAGCAAACTCGCACAAACAGCATGTGATAATGGCCAGATAATCTGTAATGTTGATTGAGGGGAAAATATTGGTTGAAACACAAAGGGGAATTCTGCTCTTTTTTTACAAAAGAGCACCCAACAGCTTTACGTCACCCTCAGCAGGCAGATGGAGCTTCAGTTTAGCATCTTACCCAAACGACGACACCTCCAATCACTGTGGCATTCCCTTAGCACTGACCCTCTAATAGTGCAGCACTCTCTCAGTAGTGACACTAGTACAGTGCAGCACACCCTCCGTACTGACACTACTACAGTGCAGCATTCCTTCAGTACTGACCCTCTGACACTGCAGAACTCCCTCAGTACTGACCCTCTGACACTGCGGAACTCCCTCAGTACTGACCCTCCGACACTGCGGA